GGCAGGTCAGGTGCTCTGGTATTCTCATCTCTTGAAGAATTTTCCACAGTTTATTGTGATCCACACAGTAGGCTTTGGCATAGTCAATAAAGCAGAAATAGATGTTTTTCTGGAATTCTCTTGCTTTTTTGATGATCCAGCGGATATTGACAATTTGATCTCTGGTTCCTCTGCCTTTTCTAAAACCAGCTTGAACATCTGAAAGTTCTCGGCTCACGTATTGCTGAAGCCTGGCTTGGAGAATTTTGAACATTACCTTACTAGCGTGTGAGATGAGTGCAATTGTGCGGTAGTTTGGGCATTCTTTGGGATTGCCTTTCTTAGGGATTGGAATGAAAATTGACCCTTTCCAGTACTGTGGCCACTGCTGAGTTCTCCAAATTTGCTGGCATATTGAGTGCAGCACTTTCACAGCATCATCTTTCAGGATTTTAAATAGCTCAACTGGAATTCCATCACATCCACTAGCTTTGTTCTTAGTGAAGCTTTCTAAGGCCCACTTGACTTCACATTCCAGAATGTCTGGCTCTAGGTGAGTGATCACACCATTGAGATTATCTGGGTCGTGAAGATCTTTTTTGTATAGTTCTTCTGTGTATTTTTGCCACCTCTTCTTAATATATTCTGCTTCTGTTAGGTCCATACGATTTCTGTCCTTTATTGAGCCCATTTTTGCATGAAATCTTCCCTTGGTATCTCTAATTTTCTTGATGAGATCTCCAGTCTTTCCCATTCTGTTGTTTTCCTCTATTTCTTTGCACTGATCGCTGAGGAAGGCTTTCTTATTTCTCCTGACTATTCTTTGGAACTCTGCATTCAAATGGGAATATCTTTCCTTTTCTCCTTTGCTTTTTGCTTCTCTTCGTTTCACAGCTATTTGTAAGGTCTCCTCAGACAACCATTTTGCCTCTTTGCATTTCTTTTCCATGGGGATGGTCTTGATTCCTGTCTCCTGTACAATATCACCAAACCTCGTCCATAGTTCATCAGGCTCTCTGTCTATCAGATCTAATCCCTTAAATCTATTTCTCACTTCCTCTGTATAGTCATAAGGGATTTGATTTAGGTCATACCTGAATGGTCTAGTGGTTATCCCTACTTTCTTCAGGTTACGTCTGAATTTGGCATTAAGGAGTTCATGATCTGAGCCACAGTCAGCTCCCGGTCTTGTTTTTGCTGACTGTATAGAGCTTCTCCATCTTTGGCTGCAAAGAATATAATCAGTCTGATTTCAGTGTTGACCATCTTCTGATGTCCATGTGTAGAGTCTTCTCTTGTGTTGTTGGAAGAGGGTGTTTTCTATGACCAGTGTGTTCTCTTGGCAAAACTCTATTAGCCTTTGCCCTGCTTCATTCCATACTCCAAGGCCAAATTTGCCTGTTATTCCAGGTGTTTCTTGACTTCCTAGTTTTGCATTCCAGTCCCCTATAATGAAAAGGACATGTTTTTTGGGTGTTAGTTCTAAAAGGTCTTGTAGGTCTTCATAGAACCGTTCAACTTCAGCTTCTTCAGTGTTACTGGTTGGGGCATAGGCTTGGATTACCGTGATATTGAATGGTTTGCCTTGGAAATGAACAGAGATTATTCTGTCATTTTTGAGATTGCATCCAATTACTGCATTTCGGACTCTTTTGTTGACCATGATGGCTACTCTATTTCTTCTAAGGGATTCCTGCTCACAGTAGTAGATATAATGGTCATCTGAATTAAATTCACCCATTCCACTCCATTTTAGTTCGCTGATTCCTAGAATGTCAACATTCACTCTTGCCATCTCCTGTTTGACCATTTCCAATTTGCCTTGACTCATGGACCTAACATTCCAGGTTCCTATGCAATATTGCTCTTTACAGCATCGGACCTTGCTTCTATCACTAGTCCCATCCACAACTGGGTATTGTTTTTGCTTTGGCTTCATCCCTTCATTCTTTCTGGAGTTATTTCTCCACTGATCTCCAGTAGCATATTGGGCATTGGATAGCATCACCAACTGAATGGATATGAGTTTGAGCCAGCTCTAGGAGCTGGTGATGGACAGGGAAGCCTGGCGTGCTGCAGTCCATGAGGTCGCAAGAGTAGGACATGACTTAGTGACTAAACCACCACTTTGTGTTGAAGTTTCCACAAAAGCACTAGAAGTGGCTCCATTCCTGCTGCCATGCTGACTGTCCCAAGGCAGACTGATGTGTCCTAGGACTGGAACACAAGGTGTCATCTGAGAGGCTTTGGTCGGCTAACCATTCCCTGCTATATATTGATTGTGACAACCTTCCACATGGTCATTTTCACGCTAGTCACCATCTTACAACCTTTGTTACCATCTGAGCCATGTTTTAAAGCATTCGACTGCCAGGCCAAACTCAGAGGATCTTTAACATCCTTGAAGAGAAAAGGTAAGCTTTGTATTGTACCAAAGGATTCAGGTTCTGATCTTAAAATATTAATCGCTCAGTGAATAATCGTCTCCTTGGACCTGTTCAGAAATGTATTCATGTTGATATTACTTTTCCTTACAATTTTTGATGTTGCTAGGATCACAAGTTACATAGTCTATTGCTTAGAATCCCAGTCCTTAAAGGAGAAACTGTCTTCTTGTTACTGACTTGGAATCAGTGGCTTCCAAGCCTTTTTGCCCCAGCTACAGTTCCAGAGAAATGCCTCCTTTTAACTCTGCCCACTCTTCCCAGGAAGACTTCCCTCAAGGCCCCAGATTTCCACTAACAGCTCCTCTGCTGACTCTGAACCCTCAATGGGCCACACTGTCCAAGTTATGACCCCGAGGGCTAGGTACTGGCTAGGGGAACATCCATGAATGAATTGCTACACTGGGTGCCCCTGCACAAGTCTCTTCCTTCTCTGGGCCCCTAATTCCTCCTCAATGTGATGGCATCGGTGCCAAGGGCCTCTCAGCTCTGATGGTCAAGGGCTTGCCTGGTTTCTGGTGGTTTGAGACAGGTCTGCCTGCAGTGGGACTGGCTTGGGGCTCCAGGTGGTCTCGTGTGCAGGAGATCATCACAGGTCAGCTGTGTGATGCCATCTGTGGTGGGACCTCATAGTGGGGCAACTGGGGGAGAGGGAAATACAAGGCAGAGGGCCAAGGCAGGTGCTGGGGAGGGGTTGCTCCCAGAGGAGAAGGCAAACTTAGAATTCCTTGACCTCATAAGGAAACGGCTTGGGTTCTGTATGGGGGGGGAGGGCGGTTGGCAAGGGGAGGCCGGCCTCCGGGACAGGGGCCAGCACTGCAAAAGAAGGCTTAGAGAGGTGCTGGGGAATCTGATCTGGCCCAAACTCCAAATTCCGCGGGATCGGCTCTGAGGAGCCCAATCCCAAATGTCATCTCCCTCCCTGCTTGGAGATAAGCAGCAAGACCCTTGCCCTGCCCAGGGCGCTGCCCCTCATCCGACCATGCATACGTGGGGCCCTCATATTTTGGGAGGTGGAGAAATCCTCATCTCTAAAACCTGGCCAACAGCAACCTAGCAGAGGGGCTTCGTACATGGTTAAACCAGGGCCCTATCTTCTCTCCACCACATGAACGAACCTTCGCTGAGACCAAGGCTGTGACCCTCACCAGCTGGGCCAGTCTGCCAGCCTTCATCCCAGTTCTGGGAGGGGCGCTTCAGTTTCCCCTCATTCTATTGGCTGGCTTTGTTAGAACGTGACTGTCATCTCCTTCCTAATTTTCGTGGGAGAGCTCTTTCCTGACCAAGGCTCTCACCAACTCCCTGTGACAGGTCCCGGCTGCCTTCCATGGTTTGCCTGCTTCAGTCCCCTGGCCCCTTGTCCGGGAGGCCCCCTCTGCACTCCCATGACCCTGAAGCCCACTGAGACCCAGGTGCTCAGAGCACATTATTGGAAGCCTCGGGCAGGTCCCTCTGGCAGTCTCCTGGGTCACGCTGGGCTCAGGGGCCAGCCCAGTCACGGAGGGGAAGCCCCTCGCGCCTCGAGTGGGCTGCCGGTGGGTGAGGCAGGCACCCGCCATCTCTGCATGCATCGCATCACTGGGCGCCCCGTGCCAGTGCCCATTGGCATGCCCGGGCCCCTTCCAAGGCTGCTGGCTTCTGGAGCACCGGTGGCCTCCTGGCCCAGTGCCCCATTTCCTCCGGGGTGCAGCAGGGAGGGAAGGAGGCGGTGGGGACCTGCGGGCTCAGGCCAGGGTCCCACAGAGCGGGAAGGCGTGCTGGGGCAGGGGGTCTGGGGGTCTGGGGGGTGGCTTAGGGTCGGGTGGCTACGGGCTTCCCTGGCGTGGCACGCGCGCGCCCAGCGCGGGCAGCGGCGCCTAGTCCAGACCCACGCTCTCCAAGGGCTCGCCCCTTCAGATCGGACCCTTTCTCTCGGCTGCCGGCGAGCCGGCCGGCCGGGGCGAGGCCAGGAACCCCCGAGCGCCGGAGCTCGGTGCAGACGGGTCAGTTGGGACCTAGTGAAGTCCACGTGACTCACGGAGGGCTAGCCCCGCCCATCTCCCACATCCTGGCCAGTTTCTGCTGGTTGCACGGCCACAGGCCACGCCCCTCCACCCTTCTGACCCGAATAGCCGAGCGGGTGACGTCGCGGCTCGCGGGCCCCGCCCCGCTCCCAAGTCGGGGCGGGTCTAAGCTAGTTCCCGTTGCACCCAGGCCCCGCCCCTCGCTGGCGTCCGGGCCTAAATGCGCCAGCGTGTGACGTCTCTGGGCTCGCCAGCTCCGCCCACCCCCACGGCCCGGCCCATCTGTGCCGTTTGAGCTGCGGCCCCTCCCACCCGGGAGGGGTGACGTCTAGGCTCGCGAGCCCCGCCCCGCCCCGCCCATTCCCAAGGCCCCACCAATCTGTGCTGGCGCCTCTTCGCGAGGCCCGGCCCCTCTCCGCGCAGCGCGCACTGCCTGCCAAGACCGCGGCTGTGACACGGGCGTGACGCGCGCGTAGCCGCTCCCGAGGCGCTCCTGTTGCCCCCGCCGCGCTCCCAGGACATCGTCTCTCGGCCGGTGTCGCTAGGCCCAGGCCTCCGCCGTCCGCTGCCCGCCATGGACGACCACGCAGTCCTGTCGGACTCGGAGCTGGCCGCCATGCTGCGCAGTACAACATCCCACACGGGCCCGTCGTTGGTACGCGGTGGACGGAGGGCGGGCCCCCTCCCCGCGCTTAGCCCCGCGGCCCGCTCCCTGACCGCCCTGTGCCCCGCGTCTGATCAGGTTCCACTCGCAAGCTCTACGAAAAGAAAATCTTCGAGTATGAGACCCAGAGGCGGAGGCTCTCGCCCCCGAGCTCGTCTGCATCCTCTTTCTCCTATCGGTTCTCGGGTGAGGCTTCCGTCCCAGGGCCCTGCCTGGCCGCCCTTGGGGACACGGTTTGGGTGACTCTGAGAAAGGGGTCGCGGGGGTGTGGCCGGGGCACTGGCCGGAAGGGGCGCGGGGGAAACGGGAGGGGACCCCTGTGGGCCATGGTCCTAGCCCCTCCCCCATTCAGACGTAGATTCGGCGTCCATGGACTCGGATATGTATGATCTGCCCAAGAAAGAGGACGCCTTACTTTACCAGAGCAAGGGTAAGGCAGGGGTGGGATGGGCACCCTGACACCTTCCTTCCATTGTCAGCCAGAACCTGAGACCTCAACCCCAAGCGTCCTGCAGTAGCCCTGGAGGGGAGAAACCGTGTCACAGGCCCCCCCAGTGGGATTCAGATTAGGGCCATCGGGCCAGGTAGGGACACCGTTGCCTCTTCTGCTACCGCTGCCCCCCCTTCCCAAGGCTATAATGATGACTACTATGAGGAGAGTTACTTGACCACCGGGACTTATGGGGAACCTGAGTCTATGGGCACATCCAAGGGCTTCCGCCAGCCCTCAGCTTCACTCTCAGATGCTGACCCTTTTCACCGCCAGGTGAGCTGACTTGTCGGGCACCCTGTACTTGGGTACAACCTGAGGGGGTCCTCATGGGGTTTGGATGAGTCAAGGGGACCACTGGGCGCAAATGGTGCCTCAGAAACCTCCAGGGAGAGGCGGGTCCTGCAGACACCTGCCTGGTGAGGGCCTTTCTTTGGGGAGGGGAAGGGGCTGTCAGAACTGTTTTGACTAGTGTGCCCAGGACGTGCCCTGGCTCTGGTCTGGGATCTAGGTTTGAGCTCTTTTTGAGAATCCTGGGGCACAAAGTAGGATGCAGGCAGCCGGGACAAGTGGCACGGCCCTGCAGACATAAGGCTGGGGACCAAGAAGGGGGTCTGGAGGGTGGCAGGGCCCAGGCCTTTAAGCAGTGTTCAGAACAGGCTGGGAAGGGTAGTGTGGACTGAGGGTATGACCTGTCATACCTACATCGACCCCGCCAATAGGTATCCTCACTCTGATTCACTTCTGTCGGTCCGTGATGACAATCTTTTCTCTTTGGAAGAGGAAGGCAAGGATCGGTGAGTATTAAGGCAAGCCAGGAGCTGGGGCTGATTCAGGGCTCAGGCCCTCCTGGTCTACCTGCTGCCCTCTTTGCCTCAGGGAACACCTCCTGTATGGCCAGAACAGTGCCCACCAGAACATCGCACACTACCGCCCTATTTCCAACATCTCCAGAAGCTCCCTGGGCCTGTCCTATTATCTCACATCCTCCTCCACCTCGAGTGTGTCCTCGTCTTCATCTTCGGCCCCTTCATGGCTCACCCGCCGAGCCATCCGGCCTGAAAAGCAGGCCCCTGGGGCTGCCGGCCTGGGCCAGGATCGCCAGGTCCCGCTCTGGGGCCAGGTGCTGCTGTTCCTGGTCTTTGCTGCCTTCCTGCTCTTTGTTTACTACTCCATGCAGGCCGAGGATGGCAACCCCTTCTGGGCAGAGCCCTAAGGGTCTGGCCTCTTACCTTGGAGGCCAGCTCCTCTGGGAAGCCCTGGCTGACTGCCTTATCAGTGTTTGATGGGGGAGGGGGGTTGGGGCTTTTCTGTGTGTTCTAGCTTGGGGTTACCAGGACAGGGGCAATGTTTGCTGACCCCTTCCCTGTCCTGCCAGGGAGGCAGCAGGCCTGGGCCCTCTGCAGCATGGTGGGCCTGGGTGGGCTTGCCTCTGGATCCTCCTGGCCCTGCTTTCCTGTCACCCTTTGGGCCTAGGAAGGCAAGACCCTTCTCCTGGAGAGGAGAACACGGTTTTGGTCATCGCATGCCTCCTATTTGTCGTCACCTCATGGGGGGATTAACCAAAGGCCACCCTGAGTTTGTTTTCGTGGATACAATAAAAGACCATTTATTTTTAACATGTGGGTTCTTCTCTTTAACGTGGGGAGTGGTTGGGCTGCCCCCCCTACTAAAGGTTTCCAGGCCTTGGGTCTCCAGAATTGCCATCCGACTTTGTCAGTTCATCCTTGCGTCCTTTGAGCCTGAGATAGGGATCCTAGGCTACCCATAGACTCATTTGTGTTCTGCTTTTGGTGCCCGCTCCCTGACATGTTACCAGAAGCTCTTGTAAGTACTTATAAAAAATAATGTCACACAGAGAGCCCACTGGGAAACGCAGGTGAGGCTGCTTGCACCGTGTCAGTTCTGGGTGTTTCAACTGGGACCAGCAGACACTAACCGTGGTGTCCAAGAGCAGAGTGATGGGAAGGAAATGAGGCATTTGCTTGATGGGCTGTTTCTGCTGGAAAGCTGGTTGTCTAATGACAGGGAAAGGCTCTCAGCCCTCTGGAATGTTTCATCCCCTTTCAGTAAATCAGCTCCTCACCTGGGTATTACCACAAGGTTTTCTGCTCTGGGCACTTCACAGTTTTCACAGTTTACATGTGATTTTAACATCGAGTTGGAGAAAGAGATGGCAACCCACTCCAGTATTCTTGCCTGGAGAATCCCATGGACAGAGGCGCCTGGCGGGCTACAGTCCAAGGGGTCGCTAAGAGTCAGACACGACTGAGCGACTATCACTTCACATTAAGTGCTAAGGAAACCTGGGGTAAAATGCCACACTGTGCGTCTGGGCTCCGCACTGCCTGTAGAGGGCAGTAAAGCCCGGAGAGGCAGGCACCCAAAAGGGAAGCAGAGGCACCCCCTGGGCCACCATTGGGCGGGACCCTGGCACCTCAGCTCTGACGGGCTCCTTCCTACAGGTGGCAGGACTTGGCAGGGCCTGCCCTCTCACCTGCACCTGCACCGTGGTCTCCTGAGCCTTTGGGGCTCTCCGCTGTCTATGGCTGCTGGGTAAGCTCTGCTCAGGGCCAGGACTGGAACCTTTTTACCAAAGCTCCCGGACACTTCTTCTTGCTGCATCCTAGTCTCTGCACTTGGGTGGGGTGAGGTGGGCTGGGGTGGGTGTTTTCTTAAAACCAACAGGCTTTTTTTGTGCATTTCAAATACACCAGAAAGAAGTGGCTTCTCATATTCTCACCCTTCCCAGAGCCCCAGCCTCCTTCGTTTGCTGCTAGGCACTCCCCCGATTCCCATGGCACCCAGTCCGCTGTGGCCGGGACACCCCTGGGCCCCCGACATCTGTCCTGTGCCATCTTAGACCAAGAGCTGAGACACGGATGCTCCATGGTCGGCGGTGGGCATGGGCAGGAGGTGTGGCCTGCTCATCTGTGACCATAGGGGCAGGTGGTCAAATCGGTGAACTGGATGGGGGAGAACAAGGAGTCCCATCATCAGGGCATCAGAACTCTGCAGAGGCATGGCGCAACATCTCATTTCGGCACGTGATCTCAAGGGCTCCTCCTGGGGGTGGCTGTGCAGCGAGAGCCCCACGGGGTCCTGGTGGAGAGGAGGGATTGCAGGGAGGAAGGGGAGAGAGATGGCATGGCCTCTGGACGGAATGGTCCCCTCCGGGCTTCAGATCCTCCATCTGCAGGACCGAGGGGGAGGCTAGATGTGCTTGGCAACCACTGTTGTGTCTGAAGGAAGACGGAGTCGCCTCCCAGGTGACATAGTCTCCCCCTTTTATTTCCCATAGGTGACCATATCCATTGATCACCATGCACCAGACGGAGGGTTTCTGAGGGCCTTGCTTCAAAAGCGCTGCCCCAGGGCTCCGAGATACCCACCTCCCAGAGAGCTCTCTTGAGGATTCTGGACCCCCCTCCAGACTCCCACCAAGCTTAGCCTTGCTTCCAAGGCCCTGGAGCCCCATAAGGGCGCCTGAATGCCTCCGAATACTCTGGGCACCCCCAGGCAAAGCTTTTGAGGGCTCCCTGAGCCCCCAAGAGACCTCAGGCTTCCAAGTCCCTACCTAGGGCTTTCCAGGGCTCTGAGACCAACCCCCAGGCTCCTGCCTGGACCATTGGCTGCAGTGGTACTGGGAGCACAGCAGGGGGCATCAGCTTCCCAGCATGCAGGGCATCTCCTGCCATCTCAGGTACCACCAGAGCAAAGTCGGGGGATGGTGGTGGTGGTTGGCAGACATGGAGGAGCTGGAAAACCCTGGATGAAGCAACTGAGCTAGTAGTTTGGGACCCTGCCAGACAGCCTGAGCAGCATCCCTGGTGGAGCACAGAGAGAAGTGCCCGGGAGGTATGGCAAGCGGGGGGAGCTCCTGATGCTACCCTTGACGTCAGCCATGCCCTCCCCCCGCCCCCAGGTCTAGGGGATGCAGCAGACAGCGTTCTGCAATCTTGGACCACCCCCACCTTGACCACTCTACTGGGCTAGTCCCAGCACTGAAGAAGCAGCTATTCAAGAGTGGGTACAAGCCTGTGGGTAACAAGCCCATGAGGATGAACCCCCCCAAGGGACTAAAGGAAAGGAGGGTGTCACTGTTACTGCCCATGGGGCTGGCCTTTGGCCTTAGGCTCAGCATAACCATGCCCTGGAGACTAGCTCCAGCTCCTCCCCAGGGCAGGCAGGAACTCAGTGAAAAAAATCGAGTCCCACCCAGAGAAGTCCCCTACCACTGGGGAGAGCCAGGTAGCGAGGTCCTCCCAGAAAGCCCCTTCTCACCTCTGCCAGCCCACCAGGCACCACTCCCCTACCTGAACTCACCCAGATTCTCCTGCCTGCTGCCTGACCAGTCTGCCAAGAGGAGACAGTCCTCACTGCTATCAGTCCTCCCTGCCATCCCGTTCCAAAGCCTGCCTGGTGGGGGCCCCCAGAGGGAGAATGGCCACAGAGGAATGCTTAACATAACCAGGAGTCCTGACCCCTCCCTGGATGCCACATCACACCTGGGCGGTCATGAGGCCCGTGGGGTGGCAAGGGGAGAAGCTGGAAACTGCAGAGGGAACGACCCTGAGGACAGCACTGAGGACGGAGGCCACGGGCCAGGGCAGGCCAGAGCCTCGGCCAGGCAGGGGCAGGAGGGAGCAAGAAAGGGCGCCACCTCTGGAGGGCTTCTGGAAAGGGGGACATGCAGATGGCACCAGGAGCCCATCTGCTGGGGGCAAAGACCTGAGACCTGGCCCCAAGGAGCAGACCCCCCAGAGCACACCCCAGCTGCCAGGACACAGTCAGGGGCAAGCTGGGCCTCCCCTGGGCTCTGCACAGGGGATCCAGCCTGGGCCACCCTCCCGGAGCCAGCAGGGGAGGGGACCCAGCCCTGACAGGCCCCACGGCCGAGCCCTGCCCGCCACCAGGTGCCCGGAGCAGGGGAGGGGTCCAGCCACAGACGCCCGCCAGGGCCCTCCTTCCCTACTAATCCTGGGAGGGGGTGTCTGGTCACCCTGTGGGGAGCGGCCCCCACATCCTGCAGGTCCTGTCTGCTCTGAGCCGGGGGGATGGGGGAGCTGACCACTCCCACACCATGACCAGCCCCCGCCCCGCCCCAGGGCACCCCTGCACCGCACCCTCCCTGGTGCCTGCTCCCCCAGGAGGGTGGGCCAGACCTAGGTGAAGCGAGGTGCTCAGCGCCCCCAGGACTGGACGGCGAACCACCCACAGAGAGGGAGCCTCAGCGTTTCAATGATGGTGACGGTCTAGAGACCCTTGAAGGACCCGCACTGCCCTGGTCTGGGTGGCCACACCCCACTCCAGGGCACAGCGCCAGGGCACTGACGGGGACCCCGCTGGAACCCTGACAGAGACAGTGGGCCAAGGGGGGAGCAGCTGCTAAGTCAGGGTCAGCGAACATGAGGAGTGATGGATGCTGGTAGCCAGGAACTCGAGTGTGTGTGTGTGTGTGTGTGTGTGTGTGTGTGTGTGTCTGTGTGTCTCATCCAGCTCCACGTCCCAGCTGTGGACAGGTCCCCAGAGGACAAGGCCCGCCACCTACAGCAGCCTCTTCCACAGGCCACGGCCACCCCCAGCAGGACTTATGCATCCAGCAGGGGCATGCTGTGCTGCTCAGAAGTCAGGCTGGCCTCAGCCAGCTCCAATGCTTGCCATGGATGTTGGCAAGGTCCCCGTGAGCCCAGGGAGGCCACAGCCTGGGGAGTGGGGCTGAATGAGGGCTGGGACTGGGGGATGGCTCTGGGACCCAGCACCGGTGGAGGATGGGCCGCTCCAGAGGCCTGAGCTCTGGAGGGCAGGCACCATCATGCCCAGCGGGCGGAGGATGAGGACTGAGGGTGAGGCCCGAGGCAAGTGGACAGCAGGGTGGGGCTGGGGCCAGGCTGCTGCCCAGACTGTGCCCATCCGCCAGGCAGGCACCTGCAGGAGCTCCACCAGCCACAGTGCCCGGGCGACAGGAGAGGGAGGACAGTGCCCACGCAGCCCTGGGCCCGAGGGCAGGCTTCCTTAGGGTGAAGACGGCAGGGAAGCTGGCCCCTTGTTGGTCCTTGTGCCCGGGGCTCAGGGACTGCAAGGCTGCTCTACGTAGAACAGTTAGCGGGCCCAGGAGTGTGGGACTGCAGGGGTTCGAGCATCTCCAGGGGACCACAGGACCCTGCGGCGGCCCCACATCCTGGCCGAGCGGTGTCCCCGTGAGCCACGGCCATG